GTGCCTATGGCCCTTTGGGTCCTTTTTGTGTCTATTCTCCACCCTGCCCTCTGAGTACTGTGTGTGTATGTATGTGTGCATGATCTGTGGCACACATGAGCTGTGGCTCATGCAGATAGTCTGTTTTCCAGAAAGAAGTTTGTATGCATGCTTCGTGCTGTGTGTGCTCCAGCTGACACACCTGGAGCTCAGTGAGAGAATGTGTGTGTGTACTGGCACAGGTGCACATTCAATGTAGCATGTGTGTGTTTACACTTGTACTCACACTGATTGTCCTCCTACTTTACACAGTGTGTGTTTCTTTTCTGCCTGTTGCTGCAGACTCTGGCATACACTATAAACCCTGGCTGAGCCCAGCATGCGCACATACTTTGTATTTGAGAGCAAAAGTTGCCACAGGCATTTTGTCCCTTTGCTTGGGGCCCTAAGTGTGAAATTGCTTTGTGTTTCTGAGCAGGCTTCCTGACCTCTCCGTGGGCACAAGCTTCCAGTAGACTGTGTGTGGTTCCCTGAAGCCTTGTGAATGCATATTATACTAATGCTTCTTGCTTGTCAGCATTGGCTCTTGAATTTAGTGAGGGTTTGCTTTGCCTGTTACTTGGGCCCTAGTGAACACTGTGAATCTTCCTCAGATGTGTTTGTGCACATGTTCTGAAGCCATAAACTCAGGATTCATGCTCACCTTGTTTCCTTCAGGTGCAAGTTGTGTCCATGAATATACCTCCTATAAGTACTTTGTCTAGACCTCCTCCCACTCCCTTCCTTCCTTCAGTGTGCTGTGTGTGCATGTTGTGTGCTTCTGTGGACTATTGTCCCTTCTGAGCATAGGAAATGCACATGATCTGGCCCTGGCTTGTAAAGACTTCTTGTGACTTTGTTTTCTTAAGCCTAATAGTTCTGGCAGATGTTGATTCTGAGAATTAAAAAGGAAATAAGAGTCTGCTCAGTACAGCAGCTGTTTTTAAAGGGAAGATCAGTTCTGGTTGGTAGGATCTGGGGATTTAGAGAAGGGCTCACCTGATGCCCAGCACCTGCCCTTGTCCCCAAGCAGCCTTAGGAACAAACATTATTTCACACCTACTTTTGTTTTTTCTGTTGTACCCATTGTCTTTTGCTTCAGCCACTTCTGGATGCCTTTTAGGCCTGACCCTCTTGTTACCAGTATCACAACTCAAACCAGGATAGGCAGCAGAGGTGAAATAAGAGTGTGGGCAGTAGATAGATAAGCTTGATTTAAAGCATAGACGATGTAAGAAGCATCTTACTAGGAATTGGCCTAAATTAAAAACTCAAATCTGAGCCTACTACTGATCCATCCTACTTGCCCACCTTTCCATCTCCTGTTAGTCCTGCCCTATCTCTCTCTATTTTGTTTTGTCTTGCCTCATTCGATCCAATCCATAACTTCTCCCTTCTTTAGCTGTCCCCCAAACATGTACCCACCCATCCACCCCCTACCCCATTCAAAATTAAGCAGCTTACTTCTTCCTTCCTTCTGGAGCTTGTTTGCTCTAGGGAAGTTAGGAGGAAAGGGAAGTTGTTGTGGTGGAGGGGAACAAGAATGGGCAAGAAGCCCCAGACCTGCTAGCACTAGGTTTCTTGTGCCAGAAAATCATGTGCCATTGATTCTCTGGAGTGCCCTGGCAGCTTTGAAACTCTTTTCTCTGCACTGCTTGAAAGACTTGGCTTGTTTTGTTTTGTGCAGAAACCTTTAACAAGTGTTTTTTAACTGTTCATTCCTTGATTTGGTACCTCAGTTTTCAACTTTATATTCTTGGACCTATAAAATTTACCAGAATGATAACCCAAGAGTCTAATTTTCCCTGGGCTTTTGCTATACTTGAGTACTCAGTATCAGTGAGTTAGGGCTTCAAGGAACCCAAACTGTCAAATCACAAGTTGAGATGGGAATCCAGAAAGACTAGATTGACTTCTTGTTTAGCCAAAAGAGCTAATGTAGCTGGAAGAAGACTCAGCTCTATATGAAGTTGCCCTTTTGCTTTAGTGAGACCTGGAAGCCTAAGAATGCCCTTCTTTTGGGCTTGGACTACTACTGTCAATAGCAGTGGCTTGACTGGTGAGTTCCGGCAGCTCTCACATTCCCAGTGGACCTTAGCCCTGGAATCTCAGTGGGATTGGCCTTGTATCATTACCATTCACTGGGGAGAAGCAAAACAAGTACTGTTCATTTCAGCAGTCTGCTTGTTGACTCAGATGATAGATTATTGGCTTAGAATCAGGCTGGCTATATTGCTATGTGTTGAATGCCCCTTCTTTCCTAGGATCTAACATGTTTTTCTCTTTTAAAAGATTCCAGATGATGGTGACCCTTCTCTGCCTCAGTGGCTTCCAGAAGGGTAAGTAATTCCATACAAGTTTTCTATGGATGATATGCTGCCTCTCTCTGCGTTTAGCTTTTCCCTTGGGAAACAGTGGAGGCAGCTCCATAAGCTGGACCCTTGGGAGGGAAAAGTTTCCACCGTAGATTGGTTCCCTGGGACAGGAGAGAGAACTGCTGATTCTTAAAGGCAGAAGAGGGAGCTTTGCTGTGAATTCCCTGGGATAGGGGAGGGAGCTTTGGGACTCTCCCATCCTTGCCTCTCTGATTGCTGATCCATTGAATCAGAGTGGCGATATACTTTTTATTTTAAAAATGAGGACATTAGGGGGAAAAACCAGCATTTGGAAACACTTTCTTTCCATTTCATTGTTGATGGTATAGCTGATTAGAGTACTCCCTGGGCTTCAGCTGTTGTGAGTCACCTGCTTATTCCATTCCACTGTAGTCAAGACTAAGTCACATCCCTTCTGAGCTCTGTGTGTGCAGTCTGTGCTTCTTGTCTGGGAATTTCAGGCTCATGTGACTGCACCAGAGAGTCATTTAAGCTTCTGGACTGCTGCCTGTGACTGACTGACTGTTCTTAGGAGAGAGAAGAGTTTAAGTGCCCCCCCGGGGCCTCACTCTCCCCCACATACACTGCCAATTAGTTTTCTGACCTTCCTTTTCCCTTTGCCCTACAAAGGCTTCTGACATCTGAATTCTCAGTAATCACCTCCTCTTTTCTGTGGACGGAAGAACGTCAGATCATAAAATTATCTAGTTCGTTCTTTTGTTCTTTCTTTGTTTCTCTTTTTCTTTCCAGTTCTGGGAATCAAACCCTGGGCCTCACATATGCTAGGCAAGTTTTCTGCCACTGAGCTATATCCCCAGCCCTCTACTATATTTTTACATACTTCTTTTTTTGTGGCTGGTCTTTTTTTAAAATACATTTTTAGTTGTTGATAGACCTTTATTTTATTTATTTATTTTTATGTGGTGCTGAGAATCAAACCCAGTGCCTCACACATGCTAGGCAAGCTACCACTGAGCCCCAGCCCCAGCCCCGTGATTGGTCTTTTTTAAAATCAGGAGTCAAATTGGGTGAATGAGCTACCTCTGTCTCTTTTTCAAAAGATCATTTATGTTGCAAAACTTCTTGGCTTAAGTGGTACATATTATCATTTTTAGAATTAGTTCTAAGCTTGTGGCAGCAGTTTCTTCTTCAGTGAACTTTGTTTTTTTTTTCTTCTAATAATTTTAAAATATACCCATGCCAATAGAACATATTCAAACTTATTCTTAAATGGAACCATGTAAAGGTTTTCTAAAAATTCCCTTTTGTCTTCTCTTTCCTTCAGCATAATCCTTAGAAACTGTCACAAGTATAGAACTTACCTTGGACTGGTAATTTCATTAAAAACAAAGTCCATTGCTAATGCCCAGGGAGCTAGTTTACTAGAAATTAACATATTGAGTTGACCATTCCAGCTTCTAGCCTTGACCCATTTTGTGGCTCCATTATTTGCCTATATTGCTTGAAGTACCTGCTTATTCTTATGAGACTTTTTTTAAACCAGCAGTTTCTAGCCCAGCTTCCCTGCCTTCCTTATTGCTTCATTGAAACTAAGTATGTGAGTTCTTTTCATTGAGGATCAGAGTTTCAGCATCCAAAAGGCCAGAGAAATTTTGTAACCTATCCACCTCATTTTATGGAAGCGACACCAAGACCCAGAGAGAAGAAGGAATATTGGCAGAAGATTTATAGGGAATTAGGAGAGGTGGAACTAAAATCCAGGTTATCTCAATGTAAGATTGATGTTCTGTTGGCAACCTTCTATTTTTATTGCATATAGTTATGAAAGAACACACAAATAACAAAATTAATATGTATAGTGAAGTATACAAATTTTAGAAATTTACAGTTCCTCTAGCTATAATATTTTCTAGTCTCTGTTAATGTGTCCACAGGACTAGGCCAGACTCTCAGAGTCCCTTTGCTGTTCTTCCTAAGTGGAACTTTCCCACCACCCACACCAAATGGTATTTTGGTAATTTTCCATCCCCCCCTTACCTGCTTCAATTTGATTAGGAGAGCTTCTCTCTCAATGGAGAGCCCCCTCTCCCCTTTTTTTTTTAAAGGAGATGATTCATTTACTCTTGAATAGAGAGGGTCCCATTCTATATGTCATTGTTTGATAGTCTTGCTTGCATTGGCAGTAGGTTCCTTCTGTAGAAACAAGAGTTTGGAGAACAGTGTCTTTGGCCTGTGTGTGAGCAGGAGTCCTCTTGACCACCAATTTCTAACTTGCTTTCAGAAGCACAAGTGCCTTCAAATAAACAGATATATCTTAACTATTCCAGTAGGATAAAGGAGCTCTCAGTCCTTGCTTAAAACCACATGAGACCCTTAATGACATTCCAAGAGCATATTCCATTGATCCTTCTGTGGCTTTATCTCCCTTACTTACTGTCTTCCTTTATCCTTTTGAAAGCACATGATGAAGGTTAGTTCATCTTCCTCTGGGTAGAGGAGATAAAGGAGAATGGAACTCTGAACCTGCTAGTAACTCAAGTCAGGGCTGAAGGTCCTAACACATTTCCTTCCTTCCTCAGGCCAGCTGGAGGGCTCTATGGCATCGACAGCATGCCAGACCTACGCAGAAAAAAGCCATTACCACTTGTCAGTGATCTGGTGAGTGAAGACTCGTGTGTAAGATTAGGCAGTATCCTTGGGGTAATCTTCATTGGATCTTGGCAAGCTATCAGAATTGGAAATGGTCCATTTAGTGTTCCAGATCAGATCATCATTGGTATGATGATTATTCATTTAGAACCTTCCTGAGACTTTATAATAGCTTCAAGGGGACCTTGTTGTGCCTCACTCCATAGAGCTCCAGGCACCTTAGTAGGTCAAGCTCCTGCCTGGAACATTTGTGGCTCAGACCCTCAGAGCTGGACTCTGGGGTCTTTCTTTAGGTCTCCTAATCCTCTAGAAATCTCTATAGCTCTCTTTGATGCCCTGGGTTGTAAACTGCCTCTAGCCCTTGATCTGGATTATTGAGCGTATATGTGATGAGCGTGACTGGAGCTTTCTGGAAGTCAACTGAAAGTCATCCTAAGATATAAACTTTGTAGACTCTCTCTGTTAACTGAATATCTGGCACTGAGAGGAAATGATAAACATTTGTGGGATTATATTGCAATAGATGTAAAAGTTAAAGTTAATCTTGGGACCTCTAGGATAACTAGAAGCTCCCACTCCATGTCGTACATTCTGAGGCAGGATCAGCTCAAGGAATTTTGTATAGTCTGTGGGTCACAGGGGTAGGGGAGAGCCCAGGCTGTCTCAGAGTCCCAGAGTCCTAAAACTCAATATAAAGTATAAGGGTTCAGATTTAGTAAGATCTAAACCATTTCCTTATTTCCATTTACTGTTCCTGGTTCTTCCCTTTTTTCTCCCTATTCTATCCATTCTGGTTTTTTCTATCCACTCCTTTTCTTTCTTCTCCATTCCATGTTCTTTTTCTCCCTTTGGTTTCTTCCTCCTTAGCTGGCTGAATGAAAGTGTCATTTGATATTTTTCTCTTCTTTCTTTCCTTTATTTTCTGTCATTTATGTATCTTGTTTCTCTTTTTTCCCCTCTTTTTCTTCCATTATCTAGCCAGATGAAGGTAAAATCTGATGTCATCTCTTTATTACCATCCTCCCTACTTTATTATTTCTCATCCCATCTTTCTTTTCTTTTTTCTCATCCTCTGTTCCCTCCTTACCTACCAGCAAGTATCTAGCTCATGTCTCATTTTTACTACTCTGTCTTTTACCCTTGTCTGTCTTTTATTGTGGCTTAACTCTAGAGTAGGAGCTCTAGGCCCTGGGCCCTGGTCAGCTGTCTGGGTTGAATTGGATAGAGACAGATGGGGTTGGGACATGTTTCCTACTTTATAATATGGGGACTGATCTCTCAGTTGCCTCTGAAAGTATTCAGGCCCTTGGGGGCTTTAACATCATGTTGTTCCTTTCTCTGCTTTCCTCGGTGCAGGCTATGGTGAGTGTCTCCAGAGCCCCTCCCTGTCCTCTGAGTCCATATCCCAAATCACTTGGGCCCCTCCCAGCTGATTTTTTGCTTAGCCTGATACGATGATTTGTGTCTGCCCAGTGCCCACTGCCTTAAGGAAACCACGTGTCTCAGGAGCTGCCCCCCTAAAGGTTAGGCTTGGCAGACACAAGAATCCCTCTACTCAAGAGCCTGGCTAACAAGACAGCCCTGGCTTTCAGACCTAACTCTGTGCCTTGCTGGATTTGACTGAGACTGCATTGCCCTTTTCCTTGCCAAGTGCCCTGATCATTTGGGCTGCTGGCCTCTATAGTCCCCCAAGGACTGGGCATGGGGAGGTACCAGGGAATAGGGGTTAGCGTAGAATCATTGTTTCTAGTGATAGTCATTGAATGTGACTCTGACAGAATTGTGTGCCTCTCTTATTCTTATAACTTGTTTCCTTCTATCATTCTAAGCTTTTCATTTTCCTTTGCCTTCATATAAACAAGGAGTTTCTGTGGGGTAGGATACCTAAAGATAGTGAGAGAAGGAGAAATCCTTCTTGATTGTGGATGTCCTGAAGGAAGTGCTGTTTCTAACATTGTTAGAACAGTCTCCTGCTGGCCTTGAGTTTTGCAGAACTTGAGATACTTGTTACCTGTTGCCCAGGGGCAGTACTTGTGAGTGACAGTGAAAACAGAATGGAGTGATAGTCAAGTGACTTTGGTCACTGAAGCTCCTTCCCTGGGGCTTTGCCAGCTCTTGGTCATGGCCAGGGCTGACAGCAAGTCTTCTCTCACAGTCACTGGTCCAGTCCCGGAAGGCAGGGATTACTTCGGCAATGGCTACACGTACCTCTCTTAAGGATGAAGAGCTGGTAAGTGACCCGTGGGCTTTCACAAGTTCACTGGCCTCAGGACTGGTGATCATCTCTGGTGTGGCTGCACTAACTGGGAATTCAAGAGTATAGGGCACACATTTCTGATGAAACATATTGATAGCAACAAGTCCCAGTTTTCTATATGGGGAGAGGCAGACCAGACCAGAGTCTCATTTTGAAGGGTTGACAACTGAACTTGGATTCTATGGTAGGCCTAGTACCCTCTGTTTCCCCAGAAAGCGTGAATGTTAGGATAAGGCTCAGACCCAGCATCAGGTCTAACCTGTGTTAGATGACCAGGAACACACTATATTCAGAGCTTCTTTCAGCTAGGCTGGGCTATGGACTAGGCCAGGCTAGCATATCTTTTCCATTGCCAGAGGAAGAACCAGGGTCCTAATTGTCCCACAGGGTCTCTGTTCTGGCATCTCCCCGCAGAGTCCTAAAATCACAGGTGGATAATTGGGTGTGTATTTTTCAGAAATCCCATGTTTATAAGAAAACCCTGCAGGCCTTAATCTACCCCATCTCATGTACCACACCACACAACTTTGAAGTCTGGTCAGCTACCACCCCGACCTACTGCTATGAATGTGAAGGCCTACTCTGGGGCATTGCCCGGCAAGGCATGCGCTGCAGCCAGTGTGGGGTCAAGTGTCATGAGAAGTGCCAGGACCTGCTCAACGCCGACTGCCTGCAGCGTGAGTGCCCCTGTGGGATGAGGGTTGGACTGTCAGGGCAATAGAGCCTCTGCAAAATAGTTTGCAGTGGAGAGTTATGTTGGCTGAACCACCAGTCCATCTGATTCTTTTCAGAGAAGGTAGGGTACAAACTCAAGGGGTGATTCCTTTCCAGATAACAAATCTTATAGTCCCCTCTTAAGCACCTTTAGCAAAAATTCTTTGAGCTTTCTATATTCTTTTGACAGCTAGAATCTCTTCCAGGATTGAGTTGATCCTAGAGGCTAAACTTGAATAGTGTATACAGTAGCCTTATTTCCTAAATGACTAGAACTTGTTTAATCAGGGACTAAAACTAATAAGAAGAGAGAGTGAGTTCCATGAGGTTCCAGGCTTCACAGAGGAACTTCCTGAGGTCTAAACCCTAGAACCCACAAAAGGAATCATTTACTCCTTGTGTGTAGATTGAGATTTTAGACAATAGAATAGAAATTTCAAATAGATGGAGTCTATTGTCCAGGACAGTGTGTCAGTCTCCCAAGAGAAACTATATATGTGACTTGTATTATCATGAGGAGTGGGGAGAATGGGAACAGGAAAACAGCTAGCTCCTGTCAGGGGAAGTTGTATCGCCCAAAGCTTCTGTCTCCCTGCTCCCCTTCTGCCAGACTAGTACTAGCTGTTGCTGGGTCCCAGAAAAAGCAGGGGAGCGGGAGGTTGGAAAGTATTCTCCTCCTCCTTCAGTTTTCCCAGGTGTTACCCAGAACCAAGCCATAGTATTGAAAACTTTAAGGATTGTAGTAGAAAAAGGGAAAAATAATCATAGTGACCATTTATTGAGTACCTGTAGATGCCAGGTTCTGGGCTAGGTTTTTACATATACTGTCTGAAATAATGCTTATTTCAGCCCTGAGAAATAAACATCATTATCTCCCCTTAGGAAAAAAAAAAACTAGTTCATGAGCTAGGAATGGTAGAGCCAGGACTTGAACCCAAGTCTGTCTGACACCAAAGGCCATACTTTTCTTATAATACCACACTGGAGGCATAAGACAGAGCCCAACTGTTGTGCCACATTGAGTTCTGGGATTTGTATCATGCTTGACATGGATGAGATGGGTTGTGTTAAGCTCATCCACCACCATTCCCTGATAACTCAGACATCTGTTGGTGTTATTTTGAGTTGGAGAGTTGATGAAAATTTTACCTACATATACAAATGAATAGTAAATGAACCCCCATCACAATTATCCAGATTTTGCTACCCTTTGAGTTGCAGATTCCACTGGCCAAGCAGCAGGCCCCACTGGCCAAGCAGCAGGCCCCATAGTAACTGGCTCTACCCAGAGATATTCCAGTCTCCCTATGCTTCTCCCACTGCTACACATCTTCGCCCAGGCACTGTTCCTCAGCTCAACCTTGGTCTAGTAGGTGGTCTGTTGGTTAATCCTGCTTTCTATCTGGTCATCTTTCAGGGGCTGCAGAAAAGAGCTCTAAACATGGAGCTGAGGACCGGACACAGAACATTATCATGGCCATGAAGGACCGCATGAAGATCCGAGAGCGAAATAAGCCGGAGATCTTTGAAGTTATCAGGGATGTCTTCACAGTGAGCAAAGTAGCCCACGTGCAGCAGATGAAAACAGTGAAGCAGAGTGTACTGGATGGCACTTCTAAATGGTCAGCCAAGATTACCATCACTGGTGAGCTGGCAAAAATTGGAGGGGACAGGGATTCCTGGGCTATGGAGAGGAGCCTGGGGAAGAAGCATCTTGAGTATGAGGGAGCAAGTGACTGGGGGGAAAGAAGATAGAACTAAGGGGAAGAGGGAGAGCCTCATTATTTAATACTCCTCCTCATCTAGACTCAGTCAGTGCTGGAAGAGGCAAGATTGGCAACTCCAAACCATGTGAACCATAATACAGGATTTGTATTATGATACCCTGACACTATCCACTTGGTTAGCAGTTTGATATTATAAGAGCTCAAGATGGGAGGAGGGGAGAGATAGGTGACCAGGGAATAGTTAACTAGTAATTTATTAACCAGGTTAATGGAACTGAAGCATGCATACATTAGAGGGATGTAGCAGTGAGGGGTAAATTGTTATTTATTTAGGGTTTGGGTAGGGAGCTGGAATTGTTAGGGCTAGTTTTTAAGAGAAAGGCAGTGGCCCAAGACTACATATAGCTATGGAGGAGCATAGGAAGAGGGAGGCTGCTCTAAGGGAAGAGCCTATGAGTGAGGGCTCCTCACTTACTCTGAAGTCTGATCTGAAGCCCCCTGTATGTGCTTGGGTTGCAGTGGTATGTGCCCAGGGCTTACAAGCCAAGGACAAAACAGGATCCAGTGACCCTTATGTGACTGTGCAAGTTGGTAAAACCAAGAAGCGTACCAAGACCATTTTTGGAAACTTGAATCCTGTTTGGGAGGAGAAGTTCCATTTGTAAGTTACAGAGGGTTTTGTCTTACCTGAGACTGTGTATTTTAGAAGCAGCATTACATCCTGCTTTTCTGGAGTCCTGGGAAGAGGCAAAGGCAGTGAAGAAATCCCATTTCCCACATTCCTCACTTGGGCAGCAGCCATTCTTTGTCTAGACATAGCACTTTGCCCATACCTTTTCTTAACTGAGTATTTATGAGATCTCTGGGTACCCCATTTTTCTTTTTCTAACTACCCCGTTGTACTTTCCAGCCCTGTCACCCTGTCTAGGAAGGGTTGGGCTTTCTTTCTTTTTTCCTTTTTTTTTTTTTTTTTTTTGGGCCTGAGGGTTGAACCAATGGGAATTTAATGAGTTATGTCCTCAGCCCTTTTTATTTTTTATTTTGAGGCAGTGTCTCACTAAGTTGCTTAGGGCCTCACTAAATTGCTGAAGCTGGCCTCAAACTTGTGATCCTCCTTTCTCAGCCTCCTGAGTACTGGGATTACAGATGTGTGCTGCCGTACTCAGCTAGGTTTGGGTTGTTCTAAGGAGTGAGGAAAGAATGTCCTTGTCCTATAACTGGATAATGCTGACTTGAAGATGGAAATCTGGGGTCTGGAGAAGTTTCCGTTTCCCTTCAGGGAAACTTTTCTTCCTGTCTCAGCTTTCACCTCCTTTCTTTTTCCATTAACTCATTTTTTATAGTTTATTTTATATGACAGTAAAGGTTGATTTTGAAAAATAGTGAACTCTGGCCTAGGAGTTGGACTAATATCTGGAGAATCCAGATGCTTCATCTTCCCACTTTTAATGCCTAGGGATCAGGACTTTGGATCTGAATCAGCTAAGAAGATGGCTATGTAGAAGCCGTCTTCTGTTGACTCCTCATAGAATTTGTGTGGAAGAGAATTGTGGTGTAAAATTAATCTCTAATCCAGGGCAACAGTTTCTGGAAGAAGCAACCATTTCTTTGAGAATCTGAATGGTTTCTGCTTGACTCTATGACTAATTTTAAGTGAATTGGCTCTGTGGTCATTTTTGCTCACTTTTAGTAAATAAACTTAAGTTCCTATTCTGTATAAGACTCTCTACACCGTTGTGTGTATCAAAGTGAACAAGACACTCCCTGGTTTCAAGAAGCTCAATGTTGATTGGTCCATTATTTTTCAGTTCAGCAGTAGTTACACTGAAATATTTTAACAGAAATGTGAAAAGATATTATAAGAACATAGAAAAAGAAACAGCAAAGTCTACTGAGTACAACTTTTGGGTGAGAGAACAGGATCCAGAAAACAACTTCTGGGGAAGAGAACATGATTGGAACCTGGGCAGTTCCCTTATCCAAAGCAAACACCATAGAGGAGATGGTGATTCAAGGGAATAATAAAGGAAAATAGAAGTTCACCAGGCACATAGTTGAAAAGATGGAGGATTTACATAGAGAGCTAACAAGCAGATAAGATGGACCCACCAAAAACATCTAGCACCTTTACTGACTTCGTGTCTCAGAGCTGGGGAGGGAGCAAAGTAGTTGCTTCCTAGGTCTCTGGCATGTCTAGCTATTGTCCTGTTACTATTGCTAAGACAGCTGCAGAGAAAGTCAAAATTGACCCTGATTACACATTCTCCTTCTTTGTTTCAAGGTAATAAGGACTAGATAATGACACACACAACTACTCAAGCTAAGGGATAGCTGGGAACTTTAGTATCACTGGCCCCTGACTCCTCTTGCTCTTTCAGGCTCTGAAATAAAGTTGATGGACCTTTTGGGAGGGAATTTGAAGTGATAGGAGTGGTGATACTGGGTCTTTCCCTAACAGAGCCTGCCTAAATCTCTTACAGTGAGTGCCATAACTCCTCTGACCGCATTAAGGTACGTGTGTGGGATGAGGATGATGACATCAAATCAAGAGTAAAGCAGCGGCTAAAGCGAGAGTCTGATGATTTCCTTGGCCAAACCATCATCGAGGTTCGGACACTGAGTGGCGAGATGGATGTCTGGTACAATCTGGGTGAGGAAACCAGACCAGAAGAAGTTGCTAGGAAAGGAGGGCACAAGAGGGGATTTGGGCAAATCTCCCATCTACCAAATCACTAATCCCCAAAGCATATCTCTCTACAGAAGCTGTCCTATCTTCAGAGAGCTGACTGTGGGTAGGAATGGATGATAGGGAAGTTGTGGTGGTAGGAACTCACTCTGGCTAAACATTCTCCAGGTTGCAGAAGGCCCTTTAGTCTTCATTCTCATCCCTAATGCCTTTAGCTTCCTAACTACTTCTGTTCTCTTATCTAGCTAGTATAGGGGTATTTGTGGACTGTATGGTCACTATAGTAAGTTCACCCTATTGGGAAAATTCCTGGGTTCTTGCCATTTTTTCCCTGGGTTAAGCCAGAATGGGGCTGTTTGCACTGTCTGTAGTTGTATTGGTGTTAATCTCCAGTCTTCTTTCATCCTTAGAGAAGAGGACAGACAAGTCAGCCGTCTCGGGAGCTATTCGACTACAGATCAATGTGGAGATCAAGGGGGAGGAGAAGGTAGCCCCGTACCATGTGCAGTATACATGCCTCCATGAGGTGAGCCAGCCCTTTGTAGGTGTGTGGAGGTGTGCTGGGGCTAGAAAGCAGTGAGAAACCATTGAGGATTGCTAGATGGTTGAGGATCTGGAGATTGTTTTTCATTTATTCCTTGGCTTTCTGTGCTATCCAGGAAGGCTGAGAGAGGGATGGAGCCCAGACTCAGTTCTCTTTTACTAATGTGAGAACAACCTGCTGGGGCCTCAGGAGCCACCAAGCAGTAACTCAAAGGACAGAATTAATAAGGATCCTATTAACATTCTCTTGGACTTTATCAGTAGTATTTGGTTTTGCTTTTTTTTTTTTAATCTCTATTTAACTCTTTCCTTTTCTCTGTTCTGTATCCTGCAGAACCTTTTCCATTATCTCACAGACATTCAGGGTAGTGGAGGAGTCCAGATTCCTGAGGCTCGAGGAGATGATGCATGGAAGGTGTACTTTGATGAGACAGCCCAAGAAATTGTGGATGAATTTGCCATGCGCTATGGCATTGAGTCCATATATCAGGCTATGACGTAAGGCTCTCCTGGGGCTCTGGGAATTGACTACTTATTCTTGGGGTGGCTGTAGGAAAAAGGATGTGGTGGACAGGTGTTTAGTGTGGGGTAGTATGCAAGGATTTTTTAGTTCACTCTATGCCTCAAGGCAAAGAAAGGAAGTGTGTTTGTATCTCAAAGAAGGTATTTATCTGTCTACTCCCAAATTCAGGAATTGGAATGGAAAAGGGCATAAGAGGGAACGCAAGCACACACCTGCCCAGACATTACAGGCCTGAATAGACAGGGCATGTGTATCCTCATATATATGTGGGGGTGACCAACAAGCTGACCTAGACTGGCCTGGGAGTTGAAGAGGACACTAAACTATAGGGAAAGCAGTTGTGTGCAGAGTCAACCTGGACTCCCTTAATAGGAGTTCATAATTGATGTTGTGAGAAGTATTGGTGAGCCTACCCCTAGAGCTGTACACAGGAAGCAGCCCTGTATAAGCAAAGAGTCGTGATCTCCCTGGCTATGCATCATTGATTTCACAACCTTATTGAATTTCTACTTGGCTTTTGCTGCAAAGCTCTGCAGAGTCTTTGAGAATGAAGATGTTGTGTTGTTTTTCAGGCATTTTGCATGTTTGTCATCCAAATACATGTGTCCTGGTGTGCCAGCAGTGATGAGCACCTTACTGGCCAACATCAATGCCTACTATGCCCACACAACCGCCTCTACCAATGTCTCTGCATCTGACCGCTTTGCAGCCTCCAACTTTGGGGTGAGTGTGATATAAACACATAATATGCCTATTTGTTATCAATTAATAAAAATTTGATTTTTCCTAGCCAGTTATGTAGAGTCAATGTGCCTAAAATTCAGGTAGTTGCCACCTTTTTTTTAAATATTTATTTTTTAGTTGTAATTGGGCACAATACCTTTGTTTTATTTATTTATTTTTATGTGGTGCTGAGGATCAAACCCAGGTCCTTGCACGTGCTAGGTGAGCGCTCTACTACTGAGCCACAACCCCAGCCCAGGTAGTTGCCACCTTAATAGATGAAACTTCTTTCCTTATGGATATGTAGATTATATTAATTGACTAGGCTCAGACACAGATAAATGATAGCACCACTGTAGTGTTAGCAGGATTGCTACTTGGTCTCAGACAGAACTCTCTGGGTTAACAACTTGGCTAAGTCACCATGTTTTTCAGTCTTACAGGTCCACAAATGGACCTTTCTTAATATTATTTAGTCTCTGCATCAGACTTAAATCTTTTATGATTATATAAGGCTGATTATATAAGGCTGATGATGTCTTAAGTGAGGATGACAGTGTGTACCTGGACTATTTTCCCTTTCCAGGTTATGTTCTTCTGGATTAAAGTACCAGAGAAGTTGAATCATTAACTCATAATGTCACCTGACATAAATTTGCTATAAACCAGAAGAAATATTTTTGACCCATCACAGAGGGTCCCTTTGTAGGGATAAAATTGCTTATATTGCCCCATCTATTGAGTCCATGAGCCCTGCTTTTTGATATTAATCACTTTTTTTTTGTTATTGTTGATAGGTTCTTTCTGTAGGTGAATTGATGTAATTGATTAAGCCATTCAAATATATTTCATTTTGTCTCATTCCATCATGAATTGACATAATCAATATCTATATCTAAACATATAATTAACATGAGTACTAAAAATGCTGTGTACAGCTTTCAAGTACATGATCCTACACTAAATTATACTTTTTCTATGAAAATCAATATTAAAATAGTATGTATTACATAATTAACAATTAAAAATTATACATTAAGGTAAATTAGAAAGTTGTTTAAAAAGAGACCCCTTCCCAGGAACAGTGGTGCACATACCTGTAATCCCAGCAACTCAGGAGGCTAGGGCAGGAGGATCACAACTTCAAAGCCTGTTTCAGAATAAAAAATAAAAGAGCTGGGGATGTAACTCAGTGGTTAAGGGCCCCTGGGTTCAATCCCCAGTACCCAAAAATAAAAAGAGACTCCTCATGTCTGACTGTCTTCTAAATGCCTCACCATTTATATCTTCCATCTTCACTGCCAGGCTATGGCTATATAATTGCTATGCATTATCCCAAGATAAGTCAAGAGACCTCAGAACTCAGGAACAAGTTGGAGAATGTGCTTGACATTTTTTTTTTTATCTGACTGATACAGAAATACACGAGTAATGTCCTGTCAACTTGGATATGGAAAGGAATGTTTCCCTTTCCAGGGACTTGACTTTCCCCTCATCAGTGTGAGAAGATTCCATAGTTTGAGACAGAACAGCTAAGAAATGGGAAAGGAACCACCCCTCTTCTTTTTCCTTTACATTGTTTGTTCTCCCAATGGGCAGAGATGGGGTAGGAAATGTTGCCAGCCGATGTCTCCTCCATACCCTGTCTGCTCACCCAGAAATAGTTCTATTTCTGATGTAGTTTAGGGGTCTCTGGAATAGATTTTCTCTCTTTTCCCCAATATTTGTTTTTCACCCTCAGAAAGAGAGATTTGTAAAACTTCTGGACCAGCTGCACAACTCACTGAGGATAGACCTCTCTACATACAGAGTAAGTGAAGACATGGCTTGAGGTGGGATGATAGATAATATCAAATTCAGTAGAGAGACATAGGCCAATCTTGGTTATAAAGGCTGAAAACAGGAAAAATTGGTCCGTCATCACACACCCTCCTGGGTGGCCAGTATTACTGACAGCTGTGGTTCTCCTAACTCCAAGGACCATGAAGTTTATAAAATCAGGTTGTTTGTTACAGACAGTTGGCTTTCAAACACCACTTAACATTATTCTATAGACTCTCTGAAAACATTCCCATTAGAGAGTTTCCTGAAGATACCTCTTCTAAAAGTGTCCTTTAAAAAATTATAAACTTGTCAGGTTAGGTGGTACATACTTGTAATCCCAGCTACTTGGGAGATTAAGGCAGAAGGATCTTGAGTCTGAGGCCTGTATGAGTAACATAGGGAAGCCTGTCATACTTTCCTCATTTTTCAGGGGAAGCATGAGAATGTCATTTTGGGGGAAAAAAGTAGCTTGGCATGGGCAAGTAATTTGTATCAGAGTGACGTCATATCCATGCCTAGGATGGAGGGAGGAAATAGTTGTAGTAGGAAGATGGATATATTGGATGGGGCAGGAAAAGGAAATGGGTTTTTTTTTCAGCTCCTCCTAAGTTACATCTTTTTAGAATGGATTTATTACTCACTTTAAATGTTGTGAATTTACAGAGAATGCATTGTACACACATTAAAAAGTAAGTATAAAAACAACCTCAAAAAAAAACTTTTAAAAAAAGTGAGGTTTTATATGTACTTCCAGTGTCCTTCATTTGCAAAAATAATGGGGAGATGACTGTATATCTTATTTTTGGCATATAAGTAGCCATTCAAAAGTTTTAAAACTGACCCTTGGGAACCAGACACGGTGGCTCATCCTATAATCCCAGCAACTCACAAGGCTGAGTCGGGAAGATCACAAGTTCCAGGCCAGCCTCAGCAACAGCAGGATCTCACAAAACTAAAAATAAAAAGGGCTGGGAATGTAGCTCAGTATGGTAAAGTACCTCTGGGTTCAATTCCTAGTATCAAAAAACAAAAACAAAACAAACAAACTGACTCTTAAAGTGGAGAGTGGCTCATTGCCTCCTTTCACTCCTGCATGCAGCTTCTTCTAAAACGCATTCCAAAAGGAATGAAGTAAGGCATGCAGGAAAATCCTAAGGATCTCACTCCAAAGAAGTTCTGCTCAGAGCTCTACCATCTGGCTCCAGAATAGTAGAAGAGATAGGGTCTACTGTATGAAAGTACAGGTCCTAGATCTCAGATTGATCTTAATGTAGTGGGACTACACTTATATTCCAGGATATACAGTTAGATTGTAATTTTTGAAGAACTCACTGGGTGTAAGAACCTTCATCCATGAAAACTGTGTGTGTGTGTGTGTTTGGGGGTGGGGGGGTAGGGGGGTGTTCATTTGAACAAAAACATTGCATGGAAAGTAGGATTGTGGGAAGGATGTGTTGCTTTCTGAGCTGTGGAGTATTAATCTCTGCTTTGGGGAAGGACCTGTCTTTAGGTTCTTGAAAAGAAAGAGGGAGACAATATCACAGGTTTTTTTGTTTGTTTGTTTTGCCCAGCTCAACTGTAGAAAATCTCAGTGGGTTACTTTTGATTGAATTTTGGCAGATAAAATTTTCATATTCATATTGATCTTTCAGCTATGCAGATATTGATTTGAATATTTGCTTGATTTGTAACAGAATAATTTCCCTGCTGGGAGCCCTGAGCGGCTTCAGGATTTAAAATCCACAGTGGATTTGCTGACCAGCATTACTTTCTTCAGAATGAAGGTAAGGATGAACTGGGCTGATTTGCTAGGCTGAAGATGTGACCACAGGAGAGTAAGAATCACTGGGCAGAGCTGGTGGATACAGGATTCTCTAAGCTTACATTTCCATACATCTGTTCCCTGGGTTACTTCTGAGAGAGTACATAGACAGTAGGAAAACAAGGATGAGTTGTAAATTCTCCCCATCAGTTTTCCTGTCAATTTCATCACAGAGCAAGGTCTAGGAACACAGAAATGAATGGAAGACTCTGTAGTGGGTTTGGGGAATGCTGGGGAGGATATCATATATAGGTGAGCAGGACCCTGAGCCTGTATTTCTTCTATCAATCAACAGGTACAAGAACTGCAGAGCCCTCCAAGAGCCAGCCAGGTGGTAAAGGATTGTGTGAAGGCCTGTTTGAACTCCACATATGAGTATATCTTCAACAACTGCCATGACTTATACAATCGCCAGTATCAGCTGGTAAGAAATTTGGGGTTAAGTGGGGCCAGCTGACTATAACTCTTTGGAGCCTGAGATTTTTTTTTTTTTTTTTTTTGCAAGAAGCATAGTGGAAGGAGCTCAGGACAAAGTCCTTGATGTGCTCAGGGTAAATGAGTTATAGATTATGAAATATCTAAACCATGTGAGACATTTGTGGATTAGCAGGGACTCTTGGACAAAATGTGACACCTGAGTTGAACAGAAATAGCAATAAGTTTTACTTTCGTGCTGAAGAAAGTGAACCTATATTTAAGCACAGTTGAGGTGTTCAGTAGTGGAATTCTCAGTTTGTTGTGGTCATTTTTTCTTGCTGAAGGTTAATTTTGTTCTGACTCATAGTGATCACTATAAGGTCTGTGTTGCCTTCCCCTGAGATCTGTTGCTGTCCCTCTGCACTCCTGGCTCATGAAAGTCTAACTTTTCTCTCTGGTCACTTTTGTCTGCAATGTCTTCTGTAGTATAATTCACCATCTAATTCTCAAGGCCAACCTGCTCCTTCTGTGAGGCTGTGCTGTTTCACCTGTTTTAGGCTGGCATCCTAAATCAGTGCCTGGTGACACTATCTATTTCTAGATCCTTCAAATTTTACATATATTTCCCCAGACCCTTTGGCCCCCATTTAAAAACCTGGACTTCCTTCTAGATCCAATTACTCAGTTACCGTTTCTGTCTTAGTAATATCTTGATAGCCGTACAGAGTAGCTTTCCTTCAGTTTAACAAATAATATGTTGTTTGTCTGTCCTACGCCAGGTCTGAGGAAAGCACAGTACTCCTTTAGTAAGTTCAGTCTTATAAGCATATATGTAACTGTAATCAAAGTAGTCCGTTAGAAGGGTCTCTTTTAAAGAAATAAGGATGAAAGGATTCCAAGGAGGAAGTTACTCTTGATCAGATATGAGGGAAAGCTACATAAAACAAGGGGCATTTGAGATAGACTTTGAAAGGTAATAGGACCAAATAATAGGACTCTATTGATCTAAATTTATTGAGCATTTATCCTTTAATTCTATTTTTAATGCTTCCTAGGAGAACCTTAGTAAAGACTAAGATCTTGCTGCTTCCTCTCATTCCCAAATGTGCTTTTTGCAGCAGTCATATATTTAAAGCATCCTTCTTTTATGGTTTATAAAAATTGGTTCTGACAGCTATGGGAGGTTTTTCTGGGGTCCTTGTTTTGCTTGCTATATTCTGGGTTCCTCTGTTAACCATCTATGAATTCTCTCTTGTTGTGGGGGGAACACCATTATCACTTTTGATCTTTCAGCTATGCAGATATTGATTTGAATATTTGGTCCCTGTGCTCCAGCCTGAGAATAAAATGTAGACTTTGAAGAGGGCCTGAAAATTATACAAATACTTGCTTTAGTCTTTTTTATTTTGCTATCTGCCTTTTTCTTTTTCTCATTCTAATTTTCTTATTGTTCAATATTTACACTGGGGAAAAACTTTGATATTGTTAATATTTCCATTACTGACCTTCAATCATTGGTTCAATCATCAATCCATTCATTTAACAAACAGGCAATTAGAGATGTAAAGTTGAGTAAGACACATCTCTGCCTTAGGGGAGTTTATTGTTTACTGGAGATGGAAACAAATTGCTACATTTATTGTTCTTTTTATTTTTATTATATTTTATTGTAGTTGTAGTTCTCTGATAGGTCTGTACTAGAGTTTCACAGAAAGTGCTCTGGGACCCCAGAAGAGTAGTATCTTAACCAGACTAGGGGTGTCAGGGAACATTTCACAGAAGTAAAGTTCAACCTGGGTTTTAAGGAAGGAGTAAGACTTAGCTTCAAAAAGGATCTGGAAGAATGAGGAGAGGATACCATGTGAAGAAAATAGAATGTTTGGTAGCGCAAAATTGTACATGAGTATGCTAATTTAAGAAAATAAAAGCAATTTAATTAGGATAGTTATAGCATCAGGCTTTGGAATTCAGCTATGTGAGAATCTTGGTTCTGCTGTTTACAGTTGTATGACCTTGAGCAAGTCATAAAACCTTGCTGTCCCCCAGTTTCATCATCTGAAAATGAAGGTGAAAATAATTCTACTTAATGGAGTTATTCTGAGAATCAAACAAGATAATAATGTGTAAAGTTCTTAGAATGCCTGGTACTGTAATAAGGACGTAGTGATCATGGTGTGGTGCTGGCTTCAACAGGAAAGAGAAGTGATAAGACATGAGGTTGAGAGAGGTCATATTCTGAAGAACATTTGTGTCAAGCTAAGGAGTTTAAACATAATTGAAGGCCTTTAAAAGACTTTAAACAGAGGAATAACAGTGAGATTTCCCTTATAGTAAGATCACTAAATACCTAGAGGAGGTATTGGAGTAAAGTTTAAAGACCAGTCAGGAGATCCTTGAATGATAAGAGCCAGCCAGAATTGTTTCAGAAAAAGTAAAAGGAAGAAATGTATATAAGTGATTTTACTGAGGTAGAATCAATAGGATTTAGATTCTGTCTTGGTTTCTGGTAACTTCTTAGTGACCCAGGTTTATTAAGGACTGTTAGAGACTTTGCAGTGACATGACATCACATAAAAGCCATATTCTTGCCATTCTGGGCAGCTTCACCTTTGCCTTTGTCCCAGTGAGAAATAACATCCACTCCAATATCTCTATAGAAACTCCTACTTGTCCCTTCTGGGGTCTGAATGTGAAGTGGCTCCTCTTTTCCTGAGATCCACTCTTCCCTTGTCTCTTTTCAAGCAAACTTTTTTCTTATCCAGCTAGGCAGTTAGCTTCTTAGATGCAGGTCTTCTCCCCAATGACCTTTAGTGGGTCAATAGAAGACTACCCTCCTGAAAGTTAGGCCAAAAAGCATACAAGGTCTGGCTAGTAGTTCACATAGAATTAGAAGGAGCTTCTCAGAGCTGAGATATGTGTGTGTGGCAGGGCGGGGAGTGGGTGCTCAGAGAAGGGATACCACTAGAAGAGGGTGTCTGCAGAACTATACCTACTTAGGGAAACTAGAGAGGAGCTCACTTCATCCAGGGAGTCATCTACTGGAGCAAATGAGAAGGAGAAGGAAGGGGACCTTCATGTCTCCTGGACAGACCAAGCTTGTCAGAGCAGTAACCTGGGCCTGGGAAGTGACCTTTTCAAGAGAGAAAGGGCCTCCTAGTAGTCACTCCTTTCATGGAACAGGGACAGTCTTATGGAACACAGGCTCAAGGAAGGGTCCCTGATCTAGAGGAAGGGGCATGGGATGGGGAATAAAAAGAGAAAGATTTAAGATACTCTCCAATTCTTTTGTCTCTCACTGTCTACTCTGGAACAAGAAGCAGGAGCTACCTCTAGAGGAACAAGGTCCCAGCATTCGGAACCTGGATTTTTGGCCCAAACTCATCACACTCATTGTGTCAATCATAGAGGAAGATAAAAATTCCTATACACCTGTTCTGAACCAGTGAGTATTACCCTACATGACCCTGTCTGGTTGGTGATTGCTCTGTCCATCTGTCTAACAGCTTCTTTCTTTCCTATCTCTGTATGTTTACAGTGCCACCTCTTCCTCCTGTCCGTCAGTCTGTCCCTCTGTCCCTTGTATCTGTCTGGGTAACTGTTTCTGGAGACAGGTGTGGAAACATAATGGGGGGCTCTGCCCAGACTGAGCCAGCCTCCCTGGAGTGAGAGGCTGCTGGGAGCCCTAGGGGATCCAGAGACCATGTGTGTATGTTTCTGTCCATTGTGATTAAAGTGGGACTTCATAGAGCCCACCCCCTTGCCTTTTCTCCTCCACCTTATTTAGCTTAGACCTGCCTTCACCCTCAACCCTCCTTTGGGCCTCAATTCCTTTATTTTGGGGCATTTTCTCCCCTGGACCCTCCTTGCCTCAGGGGATCCCCTTTGCCCTTACTTGTCTTATCAGTCCCTGGATTCCTTTTCTCCATATGAAACTAGCTCCGTTCCCTTGGCTTCTCCTCTCTTCAGTATGAACTCCCAAGTAGTAGGCATTTTGGAATTAATCACATCAAATAACTCTTGCCCTGTTCTCTGATTGTGGTTTCTTCTGTTATTCAGGTTTCCTCAGGAATTGAATGTGGGAAAAGTCAGCGCAGAAGTGATGTGGCATCTGTTTGCCCAAGACATGAAATACGCATTAGAGGGTAAGGGTCTGCCCAAGTCAGTGGGTTTCAGGCTCCTATCCCAAGCACCTTGTAAGCTGTCCATTCCTCTCCTGGGCAACTATAAGTTCTGGGTAAATGGTGCAATGAGACTAGAGGGATTCTAGCCATGGTAGGAAGTGGACCTTAGGAGACTTTGGGTGGGCAGAGCTAAAGCCAAAGGAAATAATGGAAATGGCTCTGTGTGGAAACATAATAGGGGGCCCTGTAGGTGTAGGATACACTGAGATCAACTCATCCCATGGTGGGCATTCCCAGAAAGGTGGACTCCTCTTCCCAAGCAAACCTTTTCCTTATCCAACTAGGCAAGTTAGCTTCCAAGAGAATGGTCTTGTGAAACTTATCCTTACCATTTTAAACAATCAGAGATCTTTAAATACATAGCTAGATGTTGTTATTTTCTCATATTGGGCACTGACTGCCCTGACTTTCCTAGAAAGCTGCTCTGGATTAATGTGACAAAGCCATTTCTTTCCTTATTACTCCTATAGAGCAGGGCCACAGATGTTATTATTCATCTCATTCATTTAGCTTATTCTTTTTTTCAATTCCCACCTTGGTCCACAAAGATACTATTCCCTACCTGTGTCATCTTCCCACCTGTACCCATCTGTGCTCACCTATTTAGCTGTCTTTCCTGTCTGTCTGTGTAGGTTAGTCTAGCTCCCTAAAGTAGATCTAGGAGGAGGAGGACCTGGGGCAAGCACATAGTAGAGTCTGGATCTGTTATTTGGGTGGATTGCAGAGGAAATGGCTAACACTCATACTCTCAAAACTTAATGAGGTTTAGAAGCAATTAATTTTGAGGTTGAAAGAAACCTTGAAGATCTGTGCTAAATTTGTGAAAACCACAGACTACACACATGCATTCTATAATTCAGCCCCAGAGCAGGGGATGCATCCTGCCCACACGGGGTCTGTCCTAAGGCTATAGCATACACATTCACCTCTCAGTCTAGCGAGAAGGTCACCAGTCCTCTTTCAGGCAACATTCACCAAACTTGATGCATTTGGTTCCAGTTCTTGAAGAACTCCAGCTCCAGTGGGTTTGGGGGAAAACATAAATAACCATGAAAAAAAAAAATCATTTCCATAAGTAAGGGGTAGTGCATGATGGAGAAGAGTTTTCCAGACCAAAATATCTGAAGAGCTAAGTTAATTTAAAAGGGGAAACCCAGGGGCTGGGCTCTTAAGCATTTTCCTGGTGCCAGCAATCAACTTTCTTTTATCAATCATATATAGGGTTCTAGGTGAGAGATCTTTTCAAAGGGAGTTCTGCCAATGTTTAAAACAAGCACCAGCTAGGCACTGTGGGGCATGCCTGTAATCCCAGCTACTTGGGCACCTGAGGCAAGAGGATAACAAAGTTTGAGGGCAGCCTGGGGAATTTAGTGAGACTGTATCTCAAAATAAAAATTTTAAAAAGGGCTGGGTAGGTAACTCAGTGGTAGAGTACTTACCTAGCATGTATGAAGTCCTGCATTCAATCCCTGGTACTATAAAAAACAAACAAAATAAACCACAAAAGAAGTTAAAAACTGCTTTAAGAGAATGAACAACTGTATTGGTTTCAAGTCTCACACTACTTATTTAGCCGTGTGACCTTGGACAGAGCTGCTTAATTTCTATGAGCTCCCCTTTTCTGATCTGCAAAATGGGTGTGATGATGGCATGGATTTCATTGAGCTGATGAAACAACTGAGGTATATAGGATATAGTTAGCATATTGCCTGGCACTTAGCACTAAATAAGCCACTAAAAACAATAAGAGGGGGCTGGAGGTATATCTCAGTGGTTGAATGCTTGCCTTACACATGAAAGTCACTGGATTCAATCCTCAGCACCATACAAAAAATAAACAAATCAAAAATAAAGGCATTGTGTGCATCTACAACTGAAAAAATATTAAAATTAAAAACAATAAGAAACCATTATAGGCAAAGATCAATGAACAGAATTTTTTTTTTCTTTTTGCAGTACTGAGGATTGAAACGGGTGCTCTATACCACTGAGCCACACCCCCAACTATTTTTATTTTTTATTTTGAGACAGTTTCTCACTAAGTTAATGAGGCTGACTTCAAACTGTGTTCTTCTTACCACAGCCTCCCAAGTTCCTAGGATTACAGCATGAGCCACCCCACACAAAGTAGAATTTTAACAAGATTTTACTCCTGTAAAACAGAGCAGCTGGAACAGGGAGAGGTGGAAGCAGAGAACACAGATAGTGAAGGGCTATTGTAACAATTTAGGGATGAAGGGCTGGCCCTGGGATTAGAGCAGAGGAATGGAAAGGGAAAAATGGCCTTCAGTAGACACTAAAAGAAGTGTTTGCTAGACCTAGTGATTCCTAGAATATGGATGGCAAATGAAGGAGAGGCACCTGGATAATAAAAGGACAGCATTGATGATGATTGTGAAACGACAACTTAAGATGCTGTCCTTTACCAAGTGTTTTCTAAATAGACTTTATTGGCGTATAATTTATATATAATCAAGTAAATGTACTTTAAGAATGCAATTTGATGAATTTATGGAAATAGTAGTTCAGTTTGATTAGCATTTCAGAGAGTAGATAGATCAGTGAGAGATGAGGATGGAGAGATATGACAGAATTAAATCATAAGAGGTTGTAAGCCATGTTTAGGCTTCTGGACTTCATCCTGAGGCAGATGGGAACCACTGGCATGTTAAACAAGGGATTGACATGATCAGATTTATCATGGAAAGGCCACTCACTATGGCTACTCTATGGAGAGTAACCTGAAGGGGAATGAGGCTGTCGTAGTAATCCAGGTGGTGGTGATGAGACCTAGGCAGGTAATAGTATGACTTGAAGGAAATGGAGACATTTTGGAGGTAAAATCATCAGGGGTTGGTGATTTAACTGGATGTGAGTATAGAGGAAGAAGAAAGAATTTAGGATAATACTCAGCATTGGACAAGAGGGTAAGATTGATTGGTATACTGTGTTCAACTTCACCTGGAGATGTTAAGATAGTGAGAGATGGAGACTAAAGTTAGATTATGCACAATGAAACGTTGCATCAAAACCTTTCCTAAAAATTATCAGAACCAAAGAGAGATTTGGGGATATATCATCAGACTAGATAGTTAAAATCATAAGGTTGAAAAAACTTTCTAAGGATGAAAAATGGAAGGAGCACAACAGAAGTCAGGGCAAGAAGGTTATGCAAACAAGATTACCCCTTCTGGCAGATTAACCCCACCACCAGCAGCAACAGCAACCTCAAGCAACTTTTTCTTTGGACCTTGTTAGAATGTTGAACATGTTTTAACACTCATACGTTAGTGTTTATACCACAGAAGTTAATGTTTATTATAGAAATTGGGACCTGGATCCAGAGAACAGATAATGGATTGACAGAGAAAGTAAGAATTATATGTAAATATAGTAACTTTTAGGTGGCTGGAAGGAAGAATTAGGAACAGCCCTGCCCCCACTTCTAGTGAGTTGTTACAGGATGGAGGAAGGGGCCACTGGTGCTGCCTTTTCAAGTTCCTAGGTTTAGAACTGGTTCAAGGACAGAGGGGCTGGGGTGGAGAAGAGGGGTCTCTATTATGTCCCTGAGTTTTCTACTCTTTGTTGCTCATTGGTGTCTTTGCTCTGTCACAAGCAACCACTGTCATTCGTATTCGAAAAGTCCTCTTTCCTGGTGGTAAGAACTTTTGGTTGTTGTCCTTTTGCCTCTAGTCTTGTACCTTTTCCTTTTCCTGCTCACTGCTTCATAGAAGAGACAGCAAATGCAACTTCAGGTTGGAATGGTGCTGCCTATAGTACCAAGAGATGAAAGACCTGGGAACAAAAGTCTCTTGCAGCTGAATCCCAGGCTTCCATTTCCTCCCCAAGTGTCTGCTATACTAATTTACAAGAGCCAGCAGCCCCAGATTGGATGTTCTGCCTTGACTTGGAGGAACATCACTTGTGGCATCCCAAAGTTGAGCAACATAGTCCCCAAGGACACCAGCCTCTTCTCTGTTGCTTAGTATTTCCCCCATTTGCTTGCCTTTACCATTATGTTATGCCACCACACAGTTGGCTTTTATTATTGAAATTAATGCTTCAGTTCTCTAGGGGTTGGGGAATGAAGAGAACCTTGGCCAGTGCTCTGGACTCTGAGCCCAGCTGAGTGATCTGAATCCTAGATTTTCCAGAAGTCTCTGGAGATTCAGCTAGATGACCTTCTAAATCCATAATAATAGTCTGTTTTCTGCAGCATGATGGCCTTTGCGTCTGGCTGTGTTTCCATAGTTTCCAAACTGACTATACTTCCTACTTTGGTTTTCCCTGAATCTGAGTAGTTGTCATTAACCCATTCATGCCATATACAACTTCACATCTCTGCATTTAAGCCTGCCTGGAGGAATGGCTTGGCTACTAATATTTTCTTTAAAAATCTAGAAAACCATTGTCCCTCTACAGTCCTGAGCTGTGTCCTCAATGATCAGCATTAGCAACTACAGCCCTTTCTCTTCTTCACCAGAGGCCAGTGACCTCACTCTGCACTTCTGAAAGTTAGAACAAAAAGACTATAGGCTTCATCCGGAAATTGCTTATTTCTAGAGAAGATTTGGGCCGTTTCTTAGAGAGTAAGCTGAATAAAACACTGGTTGGAGAGATGGCTATGAGAAGGAGGTTGGGAATCACAAGTCTTCTGAGACGTCTGGTAGAGCCACCTGACAGGATCTGTTACCTTGGAAAAGTTTGGGAACCATGGCCTCTGCTGCTCAGACCTAATCCAGCCTCCCTCCCCTCACTAGAGCATGAGAAAGACCGGCTGTGTAAGAGTGCCGACTACATGAACCTGCACTTCAAGGTGAAGTGGCTCCACAATGAATATGTGCAGGATCTGCCTGCCCTCCAGGGGCAGGTGCCTGAGTACCCAGTGTAAGTCATGTGGGCAGTACAGAGGGAGGGAAGAGGGCCCCCTGAGTGGATGGGGCTGGTATCCTCAATTCGTTTCAGCAGGCCAGTCTTGGAACTGCTCATTCTGGGCACTAGTGTAGAAAGAGAAGAGTGTCAAAACATGCCTTGCCAGTCTGATGGAGCTCTCAAGCATTTAACATATGCCAACCACTAGCTTCAACCCTCCATTCTCCTGCTCTGGCTGTAGGTGGTTTGAGCAGTTTGTGCTACAGTGGCTGGATGAGAATGAGGATGTATCCCTTGAATTCCTGCGTGGGGCCCTGGAACGAGATAAGAAGGATGGGGTAAGTTGGAAGCCTAGGCTGCACCAGGGCCAGGCCAGGTCTCCCAGCATTTAATTATTGGTAGAAGTTCCTGGGCTTCCACCAGGCTGGCTGTCCCTGCCCTTTAGAGTCCATAAGAGGGATATGGAGGGCCACTAAGGCACCCCTGCTGGCCAGAGCTCTTTCAGATCCTATAAGCTTGAGAAAAGGTAGCAGCTGTGGATGGTGACCCCTGTGTATGGCCTTCCTTAGTTCCAGCAGACATCAGAGCATGCACTCTTTTCCTGCTCTGTGGTGGACATCTTCACGCAGCTCAATCAGAGCTTTGAGATCATCCGGAAGCTGGAATGCCCAGACCCCAACATCCTTGCCCACTACATGAGGAGATTTGCTAAGGTGACCATGACCCTCTCCCCCTTTCCCTTACCAACACTGTATGTACAACCTACTCTCTGTCGTTATTCAGCCCCTCTCTGCTAGGACCTCAATTAAAACCTAGCATTAGCCCATTGCCATTTGCTTGTGTCTGGGGAAGATAGACCTGTCTCAGTGTTACTCTTCAGTTGAGAGGACATTTTGCCTCTTTGTGTGAGATTCCCCCTTTATTTCCCTGATCTTATTGTTTTGGAATGAGAAATACAACCTCAGGCAAGATCCTTTCAGGGAGAACAAAGGGTTCCCACTCCTCTTCTTTCTCCTCTTTTCTCAGACCATCGGGAAAGTGCTGATGGAATATGCAGACATCTTATCGAAGAGCTTCCCAGATTATTGCACAAAAGAGAAACTGGTAAGGTCAGGCCCTGGGCATTTAAAGAAAGGAAATGAGGACATTTGATTCCTTCCTGGCTTTTGAAGTTATCCTCAGATGCTCTTGATTTCTGAGTCCCTCCCAAGCTTTTCTTGAGACCCATACCACAAGATAATAAGAACTTGACTGAGTTCCTCTGAGCCTCGGTTTGGTGCTTTATCCTCTACCAAGCTAGATCTTTGCTTGATCTTTTTTTAATTGAAGACATTCAGGGAGTTATAAAAGGTAATACTGTGAATATCTGTATACCATCCAACTTAAAGGAAAAAACATTTGCTTCTAGTATTCATTCAAGGAGAATTGTCTGAATTGGCTCCAAATCTTAGTGCTTAGGGAGAGACCATGTAACATGTAAAGTCCCTGTGGCTTTGGAACAATGTTAAAGGGAGGGACCCTAGCCTAGTGGGTCCTGTGCTGAAAGGAGCCAAGATTCAATGGCTTTATCTGTCCCCGAAGCCCTGCATCCTGATGAACAACATGCAGCAATTGAGGGTCCAGTTGGAGAAAATGTTTGAAGCCATGGGAGGCAAGGAGGTAGGTCTTAGGGCTTGGGGTCACCATACTTTCCCGTTATTCCTGAACTCTCTGGCCACAGACTATGGTATTTATTGATTAGGGATATGTTAGGAGGTTAGCTTGGGGTCTGGGCTGGCTTGATCTGAGAAGGGCATTGAGGTAAAGCTCTAGGAAGGAGTAGGCATTGGGATAAGATGCGAGGAGGGAGGAACAGGCATTGAGTTATTGCCCTAGGAGGGAGGAGCAGGCATTGGGAAAAGGTTCCAGTAGGGAAGAGTAGGCACTGGGGTAAGGTCCTAAGAGAGAGGATAAGGGGTTCAGAAGGGAAGAGGGTAAGAGAAGGAGCCTAGCCAGACCTACTTTCTGTGGATACAGCTAGATCCTGAAGCTGCAGACAGTCTGAAGGAACTGCAGGTGAAACTGAATACAGTTCTGGATGAGCTCAGCATGGTGTTTGGAAACAGGTCAGTGATCCCAAACATGGCTTTTGGAGCCAGGTGTGATCCCTGGCCAGTCCCAGAGCCCCTGCCCATACCCATTCAGCCAGCTGCAGGTATGTTGGTCTTCCCTCTGCTCCTGTTGACTGTCCCTGCTGAAGCTATGCTGTGAGCATAGACATATGAGCTCAAATAGCTGGTGCTGCTCCAGGGTCAAGGTATGGGGGCAGGGGAGGACTGCACTGTAGGTACATGTGTAGCTTCCAGGTGCGGATCGATGAGTGTGTTCGACAAATGGCAGATATCCTGGGCCAGGTACGGGGCACAGGAAATGCGTCCCCCAACTCCAGGGCTTCAGTGGCTCAGGATGCAGATAGTGTGTTGCGGCCTCTCATGGACTTTCTGGATGGCAAGTGAGTACAGCATTTAGGACTGTTCTTTGGGGACAAGCAAAACAGAGGCCATCAAACAGAGGAGCCTCTTGGGGATGGGGACTCCTGGACCCTCAGCATGGCCTCACTTGTTGACTGGACCTGCAGCCTCACACTCTTTGCCACTGTGTGTGAGAAGACAGTTCTGAAGCGTGTCCTGAAGGAGCTCTGGCGGGTGGTGATGAACACAATGGAAAGAATGATTGTTCTGCCACCCCTCACAGACCAAACGGTAAGGACACCTCCCTCCCACTCCTCCTGCTGTCACCCACTCCCACTTCTTGATGGAGTTTGGAGTCCCCTGCTTTTGACTGATCCCCTCTCTGCCCAGGGCACCCAGTTGATCTTCACTGCTGCCAAGGAGCTGAGCCATCTTTCCAAACTCAAGGTTCTTGGGATGTGGGGTCCTCCTGAAGCTGGGGAGAGGGTACCATGGGAGGAAGGCTATCTGGGCTTTGGAGACTGAAGAGGAAGTGGAGGAGAGGAGTGGAACATACAGCCATGGGCTGGCAGTTGAGCCAAGACTTTCATGACCTCCTTGAGCTGTCCTTTACTACTGCTTTCTCTGGGGTTCCAGGACCATATGGTGCGAGAAGAAACACGGAATCTCACTCCAAAGCAGTGTGCTGTCCTCGACCTGGCCCTGGACACCATCAAGGTGGAGACCTCCCCCTTTCCAGATAGTCTTACCTCCACACACACACCTGGCCTTAGCATTCCACCCTGCCAGACTAGGTGTCCCTCAGGTTCTTACCACTCCACATTTAAATAAGTGGCCCTATGCATTGAAGGATACAAAGAAAGAGAATCAGATATGTTCCTAAATTCAAGACACTTAAGATTGGCAAGGTGGTAATAAGGCAGGTCCATTTGTACTGTGATTCAAGGCAGTTAGGCAAGGTATCAAGTTCCCTAAATTCAGAGGGATAAAAGCACTTTTGGCTATTCTCCCTGCCTGAAATGTTTTTTTCCTATATCTGTGCCTGACCAGATAGACCTTTCTGTCAAACACTACCTTCAGGAATGTGGCTTTACCCTACTGCTCCTGCCAGACACCCCAAAGAGGACCTTCACCTTAGAAACTGTCCTGGCTTCTCTGAGAACAGCTGGGGAACTGCCACTCTGTGAGAGGGTGAATCAAGTGCTCATTTATCTTTCAGCAATACTTCCACGCGGGAGGCAATGGACTAAAGAAAACCTTCCTGGAGAAGAGCCCAGATCTGCAGTCTCTACGCTATGCTCTATCTCTGTACACACAGACTACAGACACTCTCATCAAGACCTTTGTGCGCTCCCAGACTGCCCAGGGTAAGGGCCTAAGAGCTTTGCATCCCCACCTTTTCCTCCCTTACTTATCTGCTTCTGGGAAGTCAGGATCTTCAAGCCCTTAGGGGTTTCTTCTTCAGAGGACTTTCAAACCTGAATCTCAGGATTTCTGGAGGGGATTTCAGTATTTACCCTAATCCATACTTATACAAGGCAGGAGAATCATAGGGCCCTGGGAAATGGACCTGAAATTTCTTTCCCCAGACATCACCTGGCCAGTGCATGTTTATTGAGCTCATGAAGCATACCCTGTCTTGCGGGGACGGACACCCTATAATACTATATCTTTTCTCATGTCTGTTCTTATTTCTAGTCAAAGGAGCAAGAGAAGCAGGGATCAGCTTGGCTAAAGGGGTCAGGGAGAAATTTTACAAAACTGATTATCTATATAAGGTCTGTAATATCACGGAAGATTTGAGTTTATCTAAAAAGATTTTTCAGAACCATTGTTCTGTAATCTAGATTAAAAACAGAGGAAACTAGAAGAGGCATAGAGGAGGTGGCAGGGGATACACCTACAGGGAGAACAAGTATATATGTATGTTTTCTACCCATTTCTTTGTCATTTAAAGGCCTAGGAAATTAGAGCCTACAACCTCTTACCCTGCTGGTCTTATATACCTTCTCTCTATATTTTACAACTGCTTCTGCCCATGATTCAGTTGATCTCCATCCAGAGAAGTCTAATGTGAAACACTGGGACACTGAACCCAGCTCTTGGACTTCTTTTTCCACCCTGCTCCATCTTTTTGCTCCCCAAAGTATTTGTAGTGCTGCTTTGAATGCCATAACTCCTTTAGCCTCTAACAATTCTTCTTTTTCTGTCTTATTGCTGCTACAACCTTTTGACTTGCCTGTCTTCACTCAGTATATGATGGGAAAGGTATTAGGTTTACTGCTAATGAGGACATTCGGCCGGAAAAGGGTATGTTATACATCTTGAAGATATGAATCTAACATGAGATAACACTGACCTCCTGTGAGCTGCTTATGCTGGGGAAGCTGAACCAGGTGTTGAGCTTCTCAAGACTTGAGAAGCTCTATCTTAAGTCTTGGAGATGAGCCATGTATTCATGTAGCCCAGGAAGGGGTTCTCTTATTAACTCCCATCCTGTAATCAGAATTTTCTCACCTCTCCACCTCAGGACAAAGAAGGGATTTATCTGAGGTGCAGAGTAGTGTTGTTTTCTCAAAATAGGGTGGGGGGGGCCTCTGCTAAGAGGAACCTTCACATTGACTTCTCAGATTGAGACTATAAAGAGTTGTTCTGTGAAGGGGCCTAGATTTAAGTAAGACAAAGTCTTTTCAGTGAGGGCACCCTCCCAAGTAGGGGCCTCCAGAAACCCTGGGGATAAGTAGGAGGTTGCTACTTTTGTCTAGAAGGGACCCATAATGTTCTATTAAGAGACACTATAGGGTGGACATAGTTTACACACACAGGGGTAAATGTAGGGTGATGGCACTGTCCTCCCCAACATTTTTTAATGAAAAATTCTTCAGCCTAGGAGATAGAGGTTTGGGGATCCTGAGATATCCCTAATACATTTTTAAAGAAAGTTTTTTTCTCCTAAGATGCTGTCATCTTAACTTGTGTTATAATATATAATTATAATTCTTTATCTCCTTTCTTTCCCTTCTCCCATTGCTTATTTTCCCATGGCTACTGTGGGTGATTGTTTCTTGCTTTAGGGTATAGGGTAGTGGCCCCCTAAACCCTCAGTGTTGCCTGGAATAATTGGTCCTAAAGACTTAGAGTTCTCCAATAGGCAATTATCCATCTGTCTGTTCCTCAGCATCTGGTGTGGATGATCCTGTGGGAGAAGTCTCTATTCAGGTGGACTTATTTACACACCCTGGTACTGGGGAGCACAAGGTTACAGTGAAAGGTGAGCAGTGTAAACTTATAAGTCTGACTTTTCTTGCCAGTAATTTCACTCATCAGTTGAAGGCAGGGGCTGCCCATCCCAGCCTTGCACCTCAGCTTTCCTCCAAGGGAAATGTCACCTGGGGCTTAAGAACTGGGAATACTTGGTGGGATCACTCACAGGTTTCCCTTGTTTGGGCAGTGGTGGCTGCCAGTGATCTCAAGTGGCAGACAGCAGGTATGTTCCGCCCTTTTGTGGAAGTGACCATGGTTGGCCCACACCAAAGTGATAAGAAGAGGAAATTCACAACCAAATCCAAGAGCAACAACTGGGCCCCCAAGTATAATGAGACATTTCACTTGTAAGTTGTGGGATGGGAAACCTGCAGGAGTCTAGTATGGGGGTTCCCTGGGGGGTAAGACTGCAGAGGTGGGGAGAGGAGGGATGGACTGGATGACAAACTGGGATGAATTCAGCTGAAGACTCTCAGCTCTGGCCTCCTGCCTTCTACCCTGTACTCACAGCCTCCTGGGAAATGAAGAGGGTCCAGAGGCCTATGAGTTGCAGATATGTGTGAAGGATTACTGCTTTGCCCGGGAGGATCGTGTGCTAGGGCTGGCTGTGATGCCTCTGAGGGATGTGGCAGCCAAGGGCAGCTGTGCCTGCTGGTGCCCGTTGGGCCGGAAGATCCACATGGATGAGACAGGCATGACCATTCTCCGGATTCTGTCTCAGAGAAGCAATGACGAGGTGGCCCGAGAGTTTGTGAAACTCAAATCAGAGTCCCGTTCCATGGAAGAAGGCAGCTGAACACTCTTGGTGTATGTGTCCACCAGGCAGCACCTATTGCACAAATCAGCCAGTGGGGGCTAGCTGTATATCCAGCCTAGGGTCCTTGTAGTAAAGAGGCTGATCTCTTTGGTTAAGTATATTTAAGGAAATTTGAGGGACATTGAGAGTATGACTTTTTACAAAAAGCTTCATGAATTCCTGAGTAGCCAGTTTGTGGTACTAGGAGCTGGACTGTGGGAGCTGCTGCCTTTAGAAATTTTCCACAAAGAGAGAGGGACAGACATTTCAGAAAGTGTCAGTCATTCTTGGTAGATACCCCTCTGCTCCACTTCCAATGTCTATACTTCTCCAAACCACACCTTATCCAGTTAGATACTCACATTCCAAGTATTAGAAGAACAAGTTTAGAGGACCTGGAGTTTGTTCCTGGCTGGCTAAATAGTCAGTGGAGCCTATAGATATTGCTGAGCTATGTGATTTATATTGGAGAATGGGAAGGGAAGGAGCACACAGAATAGAATTTAATGTCTTTTGAGCAGAATCTACTGGTTTTGTATGGCTCCAATGAGAACAAGGCTTTGAAAATGAACAAGATACTTTCTGGAAATGAGCTGTGCTAATCTCTTCCCTCAGATTTTATCTGTCATGAATAGAAACAAGTTCACATGGTGCTTCAGAGCCCTGAGCAGACTATTTGTTTGGAACTCACATATCAGGGGCCATCTGCCCAGAGTCCCCTACCTCACCTCTATAGGCAGGGGAGTGATCCTGAAGACACAGGAGGTTGTTCTCTTGTGTATATACCTGAGAGCTAGCTGAAGGGTTTTCTTCTCGGTAGACCCGGAATAAAGCCAAAACTTGTGGAAACTAGAGAGGGTTGTCTTATCTATGGCTGTGTCTTCTGACTGCCTTCCTTCTTGCAGAAAGTTCTAGTCTTTGGCCTTTCTCCCTGTCATCAGGGTCAGCTGCTGGTCCCCTCATAGATGTTCAACCCTACAGAAGGAGCTTGGACTCTGATCCCTCTGTACAGACTGGATGGAGAGGGCCTCAACATTCCATGGGAGGTCAGACAAATTCTTGCAGAGGGTCAGATGGACTTCCCAGGCCCTTGCTCAGAGATGTGACATGATCCTCTTGGATTTCCTCAATAGCAACCTCCTGAACTTCCTGAGGACTCAGCATTGTCCACAGCTGTACTGGCCAATACGTGAAACAAGAAACCAAGCATCTTTGCTGTTTTTAATTATTGTATGTGCCATTGTTACAGGAAATTATAGGCTAGTCTGTAATAAATTATCTTATAGCAGCCTTTGGAGTCTGGTAATTATGTGAATGGTAGAAAACTATAGAAACAACCATCTATATAATGGTAGCTTTTGGCCCAGTGGCTTCACACTCATTCTCCCTTCCTGTTCCCACAAATGATAGAGCCTAAAGTAGTTCTGAATGAGCACCAAATAGTACAGCAGCAAGTGGGCTAGTATCTTGGCCTGGACCTGAGACCACCAACCAGTTTAATAGACTCATGTATTAAAGTCATCTATAGGAAGGTATCAGCTTCCTGCAAAAGGTCCAGAAAAGTAGATGATGTGTGCCAGTGCTTCCTCTTTCCTTTGTCTTGGATTACTAGGACAAACCATAGCCCTGGCTATGAGATAAAGCAGGATCCTACCAGGAAAAGATGCTGAGGGCTGAGGCTGCCATGGCCAAAGGGTTAGGCCTAGGAGTACACACTGCCTTTCCTTTAGATTCTTTTCAAGGAAGAGCTACATTGAAAAAACTATTGCAAGGAGGAGTAAATAAGGTAAAAGTGAGACTTCCTGACATGGGGATCCAAAAAGCAGAAGCAAGAAAAATGTCTCGCCTACTCTCTCAGCCTGCACTGTCATCACCTGGAGCGGGGAACTAGCTCCTTTTCCATTTGCTTGCTAAATAGATCCTCACAGTTCAGGTGCCAAGTCATGTAAAAACTTCCTCCTCCTCTCCCAAACCAGTCACCTTCTTGCATCAAAATTTCAGCTTCAAAATTATCCCTTGAACCCAATGTCTCCCTTCAGTTCACACTATAAGTGGCTTTTAGTTCCCCTCTTTGCTATTAGGGTGATAATTCCCTGCCTCTGTTCTTCCCCTGCCCTCTTCACACTCTACTAAGTCTCTTTCCTATTAACACTATTCAGTGGTTATCCATATCCTCTAGGCTGAAACTCCAAGGCCCTACAGGACAGCACAGCCACCACCACCCCACACATCATCCTGCAGTTGTCTGAAATGCTGTCCTTACAGGACACACACCCCCCCCCCAACACACACACACACACACATCACCTGAACTCCTTAGTGCCCTTGAACATTCTGACCCTCTTGCTGGAGTGTCCAGCAGCCCTTTCCACTGCCTCCCAGTCTTTGACATCTCAAGGAAACCGTGGGAACACGACCAACCTTCCCCACAGCAGTGTTATATTTCACTTGCCTGTCCCCCATCAACATGCCACGGTCTACCAAAGGGAGAGTATGAGTATTTCACCTCCCCAGAGTCCTGCACTGAAATGGAGCTCAAATGCAAGCCTGACCTACAGCTGCTGGAGGCCTTTCGGGGAAAATCTAGCAGGACCTGCACCTGGAATGGGGGGCGTGGCCGGAGGCGGGCTCGTGGAGGATAGGGGCGTGGTCGGGAGGGCTCTGTTGCACCTGCGCAGAAGGGTGCGTTAAGATGGAGGTCACTGGAGTCGACGGCTTTGCTGCGACGGTAAGCAAGAGGCGCCCAAAGGGGGCGCCCAAGGAGAAGTTATCGCCGATTCCCTCCCAACATTCCTTGGAGACTGTATACCTGACATTCATCTCTGTACTTCCCAGTTGCTGTTCCTCCTCCTCCTTTCTTGAGAACTGTTCTCACAACACTCCCTGAGGTCATTGTTTCCTTCCCATATACGGGTTTCCCAGACATTTCCAAAGATGTATTTGTTCACACACCTAGCAAAGGGGTCTTTATTCCCTAAATAACTCTCCCAAAAGGCACACATTTGTCCAGTTATTCCATGAAGCAAATACCCCAAGTCTCCATCTGTGGCACATCCCTGTTAACTCGGGCAGTTTGTCCACTTTTCCAGCACTATCCAGATTCTCAGAAGGCATAAACGTTGCCCACTCTTGATATGGAAGTGGCACATTTGCTATCATTCCCTCTTAAGGTACAGGATACCTACTCAATTGGGAAAAGTAAAGTTCTGGCTGGTTTCCTGTGGTTTGTAGCAGGATTGCAGATCTGTATTGGTAAATAACTTTTTACAATCAGATTTCACATTTTTAAAATGCAGATTTCCAGGATGTGTTTTTTTGTTTGTTTGTTTTTGGGTTTTTTTTATGTATATGAAAACTAATTTATTAAACCTCTGTACACAAAAGGGAACATAACTGTATAGTAAGCTTATATGAAGAATGAAGGTACAAAAAAACAAAATTGTCGTTAAAATTGATACATGTAAATCTTACAAAAATACCCCAAATGGGATAAAGCTGCTCATTCCTGATTTTTCTCATTTGGTTGTCAGAGTTGAAATATGAATTTAAAATGGTTAGAATTTTTTTTTAAAAAGTGATATATTAAACTTATATACAGGATAATTAGCAAAATGTAGAAAGGGAAAACAATGTACAAAAGACAGATAAAAAACATCACTCTTGACAGACACTCACAATCCAAAAATAGTATAAACCTTAACAAACTATCTCTGAACCAGCTCCTATGTACACTCCCCCTGCAGGTTTTGTGGGTGAGAATAAAATACAGCAAATTAGTGAGCCCAGTCTTTCCATTCTTTAAGATAGTCTTGACTTGAGACCACAATTCAACCTTGGATAGATTTTTAAACAGGGAGGGACGAATAGGAGAACAATTTTTACCCATCACTTGGTACGCATCAACAGAACACAGTTACAGATAATTAAATGGCTCTTGGTGCCACAACAAACAGTTATTCGGAAGTTTTTTTGTTTTTCTGCTGGTTTCGGGGAGAGTTCTTTAACAAGTTTCTAATCCTGAGGTACATTCCAGTAGATTCTGCCATATTCTCAAATTCAAACGGCGTTATTCCAGTTGCAAACTTGCTCATGTCAGGTATAGGGCTATGAACTTTAGAGGCTGTTGAAGAACTGGTGTCCACTTGAAGGTGCTTCTGGCTGCCTCCATTCCTGATGTTACAGTTTGTTACGACATCACCACTGTCAAGCAGAGCGTCTCTGGAGCTCACCTCTGCAGATTCCTCCTCTTCATTCTGACAAAGCAGGGTGGTCTCAGAGGCTGGGCTTCAGGGAGGTTCAACTTCAGCTGTCTTTGCACAAGTGTCTGGTTGCTCAGACTCCTCCAGTGTTGGCTTTTCGGCTGTTTTCCCTTCTGGGATAGGAAGGTCAAGATCATTTGGGCAAGGTGAAGCGGCAACGGAGTTTCCAGTTAAAGGTGTGTCCACAGGAATATCAGAGTCACTATTGATGCTCTCGGCCTGCTCAAGAGCTGCCCATATCCGCCTCTGTTGTTCTTCAAGTTCTTCCAGAGTCAGTGCGTCCTCATCCACAGCTGTGCTCCAGGTTTGGGGTGAGTCACTGGCGGGGTCCCTTTGGGGAGTGGAGGAGTAAAGAGGGGTGGAGGAGTTCCCCGTGGCAGTGGAGGAGGAGTGCCAGGAGGCAATGGCGGTTGAAACTGAAATGCTTCACTGCTCTGAGAACCATGTGGCACCTCCACATCTGAATCGAGCTCCATGTCAGCGGGAGAATCTTCAGAACTACTTTCCTTTCTCTGCTTCTTTGGACTACCAGGGCTGGACTGAGAGGAAGACCGCTTACTGCCAGACCTCATGCTTGGCGCTTGGAAGTTAGAAGTAAGGTAACTGGCAAACACATCCTTCTGCTGACATGCCTGCATTGGTATGGAACCAAACATCCTCCATTCATCTGGAATTCCTCTGGGAGTAGATATGTTAAAACCTGGATAGTTTACCAATTTTGACAGATCATAAGTAACACTTTTATTCTGTTGTACTTCTCCAACTTCTGATTCTCCATCAGCATCATCTTTTCCATCATAGAGTGCAAGCCCTGAATTTTCCAATTCAGCTTCTTTGAGCCACCCTGGTGGGTACCCTAGCTGGCGCATCCGATAGATAAAAGGAGGAAGACTCTTGTCTGTCAAACCTAGTGCATCTTGAAGTTCCTCACTAATAACTCCTGGCTTGAATCTCCCAAATCTTTCTTCTACTTCTTCTGCATGGTATCGTTGCTGAAAATTCTGACTGTTTGCCTCACCACAAGCATCCATATACTCTTTTCTCTTTTCGTTTATTCGAGCAGCATTTCGGGGCATTGGGCAATCTTTCATTTGATGTTCTTCAGAACCACAATTGAAACAGTGAGGCTTTGGCCTTTTTGCCTTTACTTGTATTTCTTGCCCTTCTAGAGAAACAATGTGGCTGAAGACTTGCTGGTACTTGGGTATTTCCCATCCTTCGGTAAGCTGAGGGTTTTCATTTAGTAGCGGTTGCCCCAATTTATCAAGGCAAAAATTAGTAAAATACAGGACACTTCCTACAACACTAAATGCTTCCTTGTTGTTTTTAATGGCACAGGATTCTTCAGCTTTATGGTCCTCTTCTAACACAACACTAGATGGCTGGGGCAAAAGATTAAAAGAAGTCTTTTCCACATCATTTTTCTGCTGTTCCTCAAATCTTTTTACTAAATTTGAAACAAATTCCTCTATTTCTTGATGATATTGCTTTGAAATAGCATTGTTCATAAATAGAATTTGTAATAAAGGTCCATCTAACTTAGTATTGTTCACCAATATTCCACTTGGTCGAGTTAGAATGTTCAACTTTCTTTTAAGTTCTTGATTCTCGGCGCGGAGCTGCTCGATGGTCTCCTCGATGGTCTCCTCGCACTGCCGAAGCCTCTCCCGCAGCTCCGCGTCACCAACCCCGTCCTCGTCCTCCGGGTCGCCGTCGTCGTCCTTGAAACGGGTGTGAACGGGCTTGGGAATCGACTCCTCCGGGGGATGGAAAGCCTCGAACAGCTCTAGGTCGCCAAAATCCACCTCTGCCGCCATCTTGGGTTGTGGGAAAGATTCGAGAAGAGCTTGTTTTTGTTTTTTAATGAAAGATCTGTTTGTTCCCATTCCACAAAGCAAGTTGTTGGAGTTAAGAAGTAACTGTTAAAAGTCATCAAATACTGCACATTTTGTTTTGTTTTTCAGTACTGGGGAATGAAATCGGGGGATGCTCTACCAAAAGCCTGTATCCCGGATTTTAAGACAGGGTCTCCCTAAATTGCACACTCTAGCCTCAAACTCGCAATCCTCCTGTCTCAGCCTTCCAAATGATGGGGATTTCAGATGTGCCCACCATGCCCAGCTCTCCTTGTTTTCTTATGCTGGGCTTTATGTTACTTTGCTGGCATCTAATAGACATTTGAATTTGCAATTCCTGATGTAGAACTTTGAGTCATTTTCTTACCTTGAGTTCCTAATAGGAACTGAAATCCAAAGGCTAGATAATATGTTTAGGTTGGCTTTGGCTCCTGTAGTGCTCTGATTAGTATCAGAGATCATTCTAAAACCTAGAACCCAGGGTGAAATTTGTACCAAAGTGGTTTTGGTAAGAGAATTCAAGCAAAATATCAGAAGCTAGCTAGCTCTGTGGCTCATTTGATCATGAAGAGATCCAATTTGCCAGCCCTCACATGCTCACCCTCCCTCTCACTCCTCTCCTCCCCCACTGATAGGGCCAGGCCAAGGACACCTGGTTATGAAAGGGCCTAATTCTGTTCTGTACTGAAAGTGATGTCTCAAAAGTAGTCTCCTTCATTTCAGTGGTAACCCTCCCCTCAAGAAATAACATCTCCAAGTTTCAAAAGTAGGCTGCAGGGCTGGGGTTGTGGCTCAGTGGTAGAGCTCTTGTCTAGCATGTGCAAGGTACTGGCTTCAAGTCTCAGTACCACATATAAATAAATGAATAAAATAAAGATCCATCAACATCTATAAAAAAAAGTAGGCTTCAGACTATCTAATCAGAAGCACCTATAATCATGGATTTATAAAACAAAATCACTTCTTTCCACATATATGTGTGACCCACATATTCATTATAACTAACTCCCTGAATGATCCTCCTGTGCTCAGAAGAGAAGCACATAGAATAGCAGAGATGGTATTAAAGCAGGAGACAGAAGACATGAATACTGGTCTCTGCTACATAGTAGGAGACTTTGACCTTTAACTTCTCAGTGTCCTGCCTTTGTTAACTTGGACTAATAATTCCTGCCATGGCTACCTCAGAGGAATGAAATAGACACATATGTAAAAGGATTTTGGAAACTAAACTTTTTCTTTACATGTTTATGGATTGTTGTTATAAATGATAACATTTTGATTAATTTTAAGGAATTTGTCTTGTTGGGTCTCAGGTTCAAACATTTGTTGAGCTCTTACTATGTGTTAGGTATTCTTCTAGTCACAGGGTGTCACATTGAACAAGAGGCAAAGACTCCCAAATTATAAATTTGGGAGTAGGTATCAGCATACTAGGTGCCAACTAAGTACCCAGTGCCGAATCACCAGCATGATGAAGCAGTAGAAATAATCTTTTTTAAAAAAATGTTTTTGTAGTTGTAGATGGAGAGAATACTTTTATTTTATTTATCCTTATGTGGTGCTAAAGTTTAAACACAGTGCCTCACACATGCTGGGCAAGTGCTCTGCCACTGAGCTATAGCCTCAGCCCAGTAAAAAGAATCTTGATTCTAGACTTAACTGTGTCACTATATAGCTGTGTGAGAAAGACTTTTTTCCTCTGTGTGAACCTGAATCTCCTCATCTGTAAAATGAGGAGGATAAACAAGGTAACCTCTAAAGTTCTTTCCAGCTATATGATGTTTGTCCTCTGAAATCCTAATTGCTGAAGTTTCCTAGCCCTGATGAGGTTATTGCCTGCTGGAATTACCAGACCTATAAAGCTGAGACCCACAAAGCTGAACAGTCATAGAGCTAGGAGGACAACAGAGTGCTAATGTCATTCTAGATTCAGCACAACTGTAGTCACAACAATATTGCTGTGTAGTAGTGGAGTGTTTAGAGAGACTTTAAAGACCAGTTAGACTTGGAAGGAAGGGAAGCTTTAGATTAGAGGAAAGGAGGCAACTTTTACAGATATTAAAAATTGAATGGAAGTTCAAAGGAGAGGCCATTGTTGTTTTCTAATGTATCAGAGTCGTGTCTGGAAAATGTTTGGTATCTTCAAAAGGGTTTAATTGAAGAGAGTTTAACCAAGGGGTCTTATCAGTGCTAAAGGGATTAACAAGGAACTGGTGAAATACACAGTGACTATCAATAGTGGTGAGTCAGTCATACTCCCAGGCCTGAAGGGGAAAAGAGAGAGGGTTTTGTTGCCAGAGCTCAGAGTTCAAATCTGGAAGAGACTGCCTGACAGAAGTACTTATGCTCATAAGTACTTACTAACCACTGAAAAAACTTGGAGAAGGCAGAGAATAAGCCGAGGAATAAATGCCCTAACCTTTCTCCTCTTGACCTCTACTTTCCAGCTAGTGCCTCCCTTAGGCAGAAACCATACAAGAAGTCTAGGGGGAAAGGAGTTGAGTGATATGGTCAGTAGAAGTCAGCATTCCAGAGCAAGGCTCAGTGTGGCTGGAACTGAGTGAAGGGGAAGATAATAGGGGATCAAGTCAGAAACTATAGTGCTCTGTAATCCATTATAATGACTTTGGTTTTTAATGGGAATAAGTTAAGAAGTCATTGGGAAGACCTTCAGAATTGTGTGACTTCTAACATCAGAATTCCTATCACTCACTAGGGAATCAACTGTTCATTTGTTCAAAAATATTTATTTGGAACATACCATATGCTGAACACTGATTTAGGTGCTGGGGATATGTTGATATGTAGTTTCCTACCTTTGGAGAAAATGTGATCTAATTAAGGGGAAAGATAATTTCAATTAATATATAAGTGTTAAGATAAAGGTGAACATAGAAGGTGTATGGAGCTCATGGTAAATAAATGCCCTAACCTTTCTCCTCTGAGAAGAATTCCTAAGGAAGTTACATTCATCATGAATGTAAACTGAATCTTACCCAATAGAACTTAGCTAGGTATAAATTGCAAGAAATAGAGTTCTGGGTTTCTGAAGTAGTATGTGCATTTTGGAATAAAAAGTTGGTGATGTGCTGGGAATTGCAGGTACTTTGTATCACAGAATTACAGGTACTTTATATTGGAAGAGTTGATTCAGGGCAGGAGGATGGTGAGAAATAAGACTAGAAAAGTAAGCAGATACCAGGTCATGAAGAGGAATTTAGACTTTATCTTGAAGATAATGGTCAGTTTTTATGCAAAAAGAATGGCAAAAGGTAATGCTTTGGGGCCTAAGAATATAGCCTCAGTGGTAAAGCACTTGCCTAGCACATCTGGGTTTGATCTCTATCCACCATTACCCTCCCCCCAAAAAAAGATAGCATTTTTGAAAGATAACTCTGTGTAGACAATGAAGAGTCAAATGAAGTGGGCTTGGGGGGTAGAGGACAGGAGGGTATAAGATTGTAGACTAGGAAGCTACCAACCATGGTGGACTGAATTTAGGGAAAAACCATGGGGATAGAGGTAAGTGGATGATTATTCCAAGTTAACTCTTTATTAGTGAAGAGAATGTATAGAACTTTTATGATTAATTACTAGTTAGGGAAAATAAAAAAGAGCATTGTCAAAGATAACTCTCAGATTTTTAGTTTTGGCAAGTAGGCACAAGGTAACACTAGTAACTGATGTCCGAAGACAGGAAATAAAAGAAAGAAAGATTTGGTGTATGTGAGAAGTGGTGAATAGAGATAAAGATTTCAGTTTTGTACATGTTGTTTTTTAAATGTGGTAGCAAACACATTATAGAAAATTTTCAGTTTAAACCATTCAAAAGTATACAATTCAGTGACATTAAGTACATGCACAGTATTGTACTTCCATCACCACTACCTAGTCACAGAGTATTTTCATCACCTAAAAGGAAATCCCACACCCATTAAGTGATCACACTCCAGGGCATGTGTACTTTGAAGCATTTGTGTGACATCCAAATACAGATGTGAAGTAGATGTTTGGATATGTAGTGCTGAAGCTCAGGACAAAAATTTAGGCTGAAGACACAGATTACTAAATCATTAGTATACAGATAGGGACTTCTTAATCTGAGGCCTATGGACTTGAAAGGCAGACTCTGAATGTCTTGAATAAAGTGTAAAATGTATTTGTATAAGCATGTACATATATTTTTCTTATTTATTTTTGTGATGCTGGGAGTTGAACTCGGGGCCTTATGCATGCTATATGCAAGCACTCTACCAACTGAGCTGTACCTTCAAGCCTATATGTATATTTTTTCTGAAGAAGGAATCATTAGCATTAATCAAATTCTGAAAGGAGTTTCTTAACCTGAACAAAGTTAATAACCATTGATATAAATAGTAAATGAAGCCAGGGGCGATTAAGAAAAATCAGGGAAAGTGAGCAGTAAGGAAAAAAAAGAATGGGGATGGAACCTTGGGTAACATTTAAGGTATAGAGAGGTTCAAAGGGATTTTTCTCAAATACAAGAAATAAAACTCACATTTGCCTTAACGTAGGAAATTAGGCTCTCAGAAGACAATGTTGTTTCCTACTTGTTAACATGTTACCGTTGTCCCTGAAAACACTCACAAACATACTTATTTCACAAACTCATTTATTTGTGCTCCAGACTATTTCCTTATGTTGCTATCCTTTTAACTTCTTCCTGATGTATTCTTATTTGTGGACATTTTTTTTGGTGCAGAGAGTATAGTTTATATAGTTAATAATAAAGAGATAAGTAAATTGTCATAATTTGCAACGTGTGTATGCATGTATGCATACCTCCTTGTGGTATGTTGTGAACCTTATGCTAAACCAGTGGTTCTCCAAATATGTGCCCTGAACCAACAGTAGCAACATCACCCAAATCCTTAAGAAATGCCAGTTCTGGAGCCCCACAACAGACTGGCTGAATTTGAAACTCAGGGGTGGGACCTAGCCTTCCAGATAAT